CTGCGCACCTGGCAGGGCACGGGAAGATGAAAAGTCCTTGACTAGCGTAAACATTACTTAGCAACAACTAAAACACCAGTGTGTTATCAACATTATTCTCATACTGCATCCAAAACACAGCACTATACCAGTTAATAGGAAGAAAATCAACTCCATCCCAGCCGAAACCAGGACACCACGGAAACTAAACACCATGCTTTGAGCTCCATTAACAAGATTTTTAGTAACACCTACTCCAAATATTTCTAAACTTTTGCACACAGATATGTCATCAAATTGTTATCTAATTCTTGAATATTAGCAACATTTTTCTTCTCCATGTCGGAGACTTATGAGAAGTAGAAAGAGATTTTTCTTGTCAATGTATTTTTTTGTCAACAATTCCCTATCCTAATGCTGCAAAGAAAATAAGGGCTACTTACTCCTCTACTAAGCCCCACGTTTTTCTCAAACAGTTGGTCTGTATCTGTAGGAGCATGAGGTTATTAAGGACAGTTTCTCCTTCTGTGTAAAAGCTTATATTAAGTCTGTGTTTTAACTCATTTAAGCTGAGATTGCTAACATGCTATGTCACCTAGAATTACTCATAGGTTTGAGGAAAATGTATGGTAGCTTTGTAAACTTTTAGAAAGAGCTTTTGTGTTACTTATTCTTACCGCAATAGTACTGAAATAAAACTAAAAAACAAAATCCCAACTGTATTTCAAAATGAAAGAGGCAGGCTATAAGGCCAGGAGCTTACTTTGGAAAAAAAAAAAAAAATGTTGCAGAATGACTTTTTTCCATTAAGTGTTTGAACTTGCTGAATTCAAGACAAAAGCATGAGAATATGAGGGAGGGAGTTGGCAGTGTCACATGTGTGAATCCTTTGGAGGTCTTGGGTCACCCGTAATCTTCTGTTTCTACTTGATCACATATTGTCTTGTTACCAGGTGAACTTTATATCTGAATGTTTAATATTACTACAGGAATAGCATAAAAACATACTCTGTAATAATACTGCTGCTAAGCTATGTTAACACATGTTGTACATATTACTTTTGTGAAAATTATTCAAAATGCAATTTTTCTTTAAAATGTCGAAGTAGCTAAAGCTAAGTGTGATAGCAGAAATGGAGTGAGAAGTACTTCAGCAACTCAGCTTATAAAAAACAATCCCTAATCTTCTAATGAATCTCTCAGCGTGTGATTTCAACCTTTTGCTTAATTTCTGAAATACGATGAGTCATTCCAGTGATGGCTGGATTTCTGTTTGTTGCCTTTCTCTTGTAAATCCCTCTTCCATGTTAGTCTAGAAGGCGGTAGAAGGCAGAAGTTTCTTATGCTGTTCTGTTCATTTTGCTTCCCTGGGGGTTTATTTTATGTTGTTGGGTTTTTTGTTTTTTAAATCATAAATATTCCTCATGTAATATCCTGGAACAACAGAAGCTTGAAATGTGGAGATAGGTTTTGAGATTTTTCACTTAAGGCTTCATGAACACACCTGATAATGGGGTGCTTCTACTTACATTTAAGCTCTAATGATCAGGGCAAAATCTGTACCTGCTTATTTTCAGTATTTTTGTTGAAAGTTATGTACAAGATATCATGAAATGGATATATAATAATAACTGTATAATTAATTCCAATATTTTCAATAGGCCTGTTACGCTGCATCTGCTGTTGGATATTTGACTGGCAGGTACATTCCATATTTATTAATATTTATAATAATATAATATTAGCTGTATTAAACTCCACAGAAGCTAGGAATGTTTTTCTATTTCGGAGCTGGGTGGTTTTAGTGTGTGCAGATGTAGAGCAGTTAAAATGGAACATGAATTTTAAAATAGCTGTCAATAACGGTTATCAATATTTCTATTGCTATGATTCAGGGCAGGAACAAGGAGGTGCTTAAGCTCATATAATATTGTGCATCTTATAACTTTATTTTTTCTCTTTTAATTTCTGAATAGTAGTTTAACGCTATTGGTATGAGGGGCAGAAATCACGCCACCATTGTTTGTTGCAACTTGGTGGACCTGCTGTACCTTAATCTCATCATCTGGGCATATTATTCAACAAATACTTTATCAATACAGAGATTGATCATATGCCTTCCAGTCTCCCCTGTGCTTGTTCTGACACGAAATACTGGCTTTTCCTCTTTTTTACTGCATTTTGCTCTTAACATTGTTGGGAAGCATTCTGTGGCCTGTGACTTGAGGTATGCTTCTTGGGTATGCCATGGATCCTTTTCTTAAGTAAACATCTGGTGTTTGCTTGCTCACAATTGCGGACCCGATGATGCAGGTGATCATTCCTTATTCTCTCTGCAGGCATGACACCTGTGTTATACAGTTCTGTAGTTTTTCTTCCTTTGAATAATCCTCTGGAAGTAAGCTGATTTTTTTTGTGATATGTAAAGAGTCTGTAAAGATACTAAAGAATGCTCAGTGGTTAAGAATTGTCATTTTTATCTTATCACCTGGAGTAACAAGTTGCCTCTGCCTGAATTAAACTCTAATAAAATTTGTGTTGAATCAGGTGCACTTCTTCCTTTGTGAGCTTTCTCCATTGATATCTAGTGTTAAAGTGGAGTTGAGAAAACTGTGAACATAAGTGCTGTACCAAATTCCATATAAATGCTAGATAATGGAGTAAACGCAATAAAAGAAGTAAGGAGCTGTGTTATGATGAGCCTGCATATGTTGGAGACCTCTGTGTGGGTGGCACGTAACAACTGTTCACTTGCTTTTTCAACTGGGTTGATACGGCTAAATGATTTCTGATTCCCATGTCTATCTTTAGTCCTTCATACAAACCCCTTGTCATTCATGCATTTTGATGACATGAGTCATCAAACTTTATTATTTTATATTTCAGCATCTCACTAATTTTTGTTGGCGATTTATTCAGTATTCTCTGTGCTCACTTTCCTTTTCTCTTTATCTCCTTTTTTTTGTTTGTTTGTTTTTGTTTTTCTCTAGACCAGGAGTATGTCTTGTAGTGTCCGGTCCAGGTTTTTTACATGCCCTTGGCGGGATGGCAAATGCAACCATAAACTGCTGGTAATTTAACTACGTTTTCCCTTTAAAATTCTAATAATTGTTTGCTGTTATTTGTTGCAGATGTTGAGCTCCGCAGTATTTAATATAGGACTTTTTCTTCTTTCTTGTGGATAATGAGAAGGGAATTATTCATTTATCAACCTTAAAAGTAATTTAGTTCCATTTTTTGTATCCTTATGGATAAAATTCTCCTTTTTGTCCTACTCCATTATGCATATGTTGGAAAATCTATCAGTATACCTTGGATAAATTTGAAAATGAAGTCGATATTCAGCATATAAGGCTTTATTGATTGTGGGGAGCCTTTTGAGGTTTTTTTCTAAATTTAAATCCACACTGCCTTTGAATTGCAGTATTTCATATGTGAACAAATTGACAACTGTATTGTTAAAATCCATATTTGCTCCCCACGCAGACATTTAGAGCAGTAATTAAGTATTGAATTCAATGACGTACAGAGTGATAGCATTTACTCCCACAAGCCTTCACTGAGACATGGCAACTTTAGCTGGTCTGCCACTGAAAGCTGTTCAGAAAGCTGTATGAGGTATTTTGTGTAGAAGCTCTGGTAACGCTAAGCACACGTGATCTGGAGCATTAGATTAGCAGTGGCTGATGGACAAGGGAAGCTCGATAATGGGAACACTAACAAATCAAGTCTCTGACACTTTGAAAAAAGTGCTCAAATCCTTTTTTTAAAAAATGAGTTATTGACTGAAGTTTTGCTGTCCTTATGTGACCTTAGATTAAAAAAAAGATCATATGAAAACCTTGCTTTTGAACAGTCATGGATTTGGTTGTAAGAAAGAAGCATTCATGGCACTTGCTTATGGATTTGCAGGAGACATTTCTATTTTCTCACAAACTGAGGTTTGTCTGAGATTAGCTCTGTTTACCTGACTTGATCTTGCATAAACCTGTATTCTTGGCAAAAGGTGAAGGGGATGACTCACCTAGTTTGGCAGAATATTTGACAATATAGTAAGAAGACTGGTTTTCACTGACCAAACCACAGTGTTTGGCCAGTGATTTTTTCATTGGTCACATCAGGCTTGCCTTTTGCCCTCCATGTGCCAAAAGGAGAGAAGTAAGCATTCAGAAACCCTAAAGTTAGCCTAATGAAACTAATTTTCCTTGGCTCCTTCATTAGGAGCCTCCGTTGAGTGTTTGAGAATCCCAAACATGCTTTCACATTTACTTTTGGCTGGCATTACCATTGTAAGAAAGGGTGCTATGCTTTGGAGCAGACGAATAGGGATTCTTCTGTTGAGTTAACTGATCAGCTTTCTGGCCTGTTTCACTAGACAGCAGCATGAATGCTGGGCAGGTACTACAGAGAAGGAGTGTTGCAAGGGAAGAACAGGAGTAGCCCAAGCAAAGGAAAGGAGATGTTTCTTAGTTCTAGTGTTTGTGCACATTACAATGCCTCTTATGAACAAACATCTTAATACTTTTTAGATCAATCAATACTTTTTAGATTAGCTGTTGTCGTTCCTCTCAAACCATCTTGTCACCCATGTTACCAAACTTTAATGAAAATTGCTAGCAATATGACTTGGTTTTAGAACTTTTATGCTAGATGCAGATCACTTAATACAGCCAGACTGTCCTAAAACTAGTGACCCAAAAGCGGCTAGGAAATCTACCGGATGACACGCTGATATTTAGAATCCACTCCTGTATTGTGCTCGTCACTTTCTATTCCTGTTGAGATCTGTGGATGCTGAAGGTGCACAACAAAAAGAGCGGTAGTGTTTGACCATCAGTAGAGTTTGCAGATGTGATTGCAGTTATAAAAAATATATGTATGCTTAAGGTTGGGGTTTTTTGATTTTTTTTTTTTTTTTTTAATATGCTTTTCTAGGCCTCTGGTTGTTATTGGAGGCTCTTCTGACAGAAATCAGGAAACCATGGGAGCTTTCCAAGAATTCCCACAGGTACACAGACATAAAACTTTGTACAAAAAGATTTCAGTTAAATAATTGGTGGTGTTTCTTCATTAATGTAAGAATAACAATCCCAAACACTAACATTTCCTAACATACCTTCTAATGCTGTTGATTTGCTCCATCTACTGGTTTAAGATTGACACTGCATAAATACAGCAGATGATTTTGTAATGTCTTTGTCCACAGTCATGTTAGAGGTCATGCTCTGTTTTAGGTTCTCAGCTGGTATAAACTGCTGTTGTCTGTCTGCTCTGAGATGGAAGACAGCAAAATAAACTTTCCAAGAAAAGAAGCACCACTTTCTGGAAAAAAATACCTAAGCGCTCAGTGGAATTCGTATGGCTTTGACAGTTTCCACCAGCTGAGGAACTGCATTTTTTTTATGTGGGAGTTTTCAACTTGTTGCTTTCCATTTGGCATTTTTTCTGTTTTATTCATGTTGAAATGAGATAGAAATGAGCAAATCACTTTGATAAATCAATATAATGGTTATATGCATTTATTCAGGTTGAAGCTGGTAGGCTGTACAACAAACTGTCTGTCCGCCCAAGCAGCCTAGAAGTTATTCCTAAAAAAAAAAATACTAAATTAGCAACAGAACACAGAGTAACTGTCTCCTACTCTATGAGCTTTGGGGGTTTATTTTTTGTATAGCTGTTACTGTAAATAGTTTGATCCTGCAGATGTTAGGTGATGTTTGATTGAGTAAATTAACCAGGGAGGTTTTTCTTATGAACTGTGCTATGGAACAGGTTAGAAATAGATTCTGGTCCAATCTGATACTTACTGATCCCTGCAGCGTTTTTTGTTAGCTTCAGTCAGAGCTGGAACATTTTTATGAAAGAAATGCTTTTAGGGAGAGGTGCAATAACTAGAAATGTAATACTACGAACTTCAGCTGTTTTACCACTGTCATTATGCAAAAGAGATTTGGAGGGGGGGGCGGTGGAGACGGTTGTGTTTGGTTGTTGGTTTGGTGGCGTTTTTTGAGAGTGAGAGAAACACATCCTCATCTCAGTGCTTCAGAAAGGGTTACAAAAGTCTCTTGCTACTGCTGTAGCAATACTTCAGCCATGTCAGCCTAAATTCTGCATACAATGATACTGTTTCCAGAAGTGCAAATTCAGGAGAGCATCTACCTGTAATAGAAGAACTGGAATCAAAAGTAATAAAAAATGAGGCATTGGGTGTCTTGTTTTTTCTCTGTTTGTGCTACTTTAAATAGAATTCAGCACGAAAGTTTCCAGACACAACAGCTGATAATGCAGTTGTCTCGTTGTAAATTCAACAAAGAATTTACAGTCTAATACCGTGCATCTGCTGAAAGGATTCAACTGGCATAGAGGGGAAAATGTAAATAGCTATCAAAACTTGAATTTATTGGTATAAATCAATCCATGGGAGCTTTCCCTGTGGTGGTTCAGTAATATGAAACAGCATGTTCCTTCTCTGCATACAGAAGGGTTTTCTTGTTTTTTACACATAAAGATTTTAAAAATCCTTTCAAACAGTGGTTAAAACTGGGATTATCTGTTTTCTAGGCTGTAAGAACCAGCATATATGGTCGTCCAGGTTCCTGCTATATTGACATACCTGGGGATTTTGTGAATCTTCAAGTGAATAAGAGTTCTGTCAAGTGCGTAAAGCTTATATTCATTATTTTTCAAGTCACTGAATAAAAGAAATTTTAGCTTTAAGTTACTTTTGTATTTTCTTTTCTTAAAACAAGAAAAAGATAAACAAGAGCAAGAGATTAAATAATTTGCCCCAAGGTTGAAATGATACTAAAAATCCAGCCTCTAAATGTAATATTCCATCGTAACATGTGGTATAGATTATAGTTTGTAATGAAATGTGCAAAAAGGAATTAATTAATATGATGGTAGTACAATGATGTCACTTTGTAAATCTCTGGAACAGAACTACCTATAAGATTAAAGAAACATGCAAGAAAAACTTCAAAGCCTGTTGTAGAAAAATACATCCTATGAGTAACGTGGTGTGTAGCAACTGCGGTTTTATGCTAAACAATAGGTTTTCTCTTTCAACATTTCTTGTTTTGAGTTTTTTGAAGAGCCTCTTCTGTTTTGCTTGACTTCCAGGTACGTGGAATGCTGCCTGCCACCTCCCGTCAGCATGGCTGAACGCTCTGCTGTATGCAAAGCCGCGGCTATCATTGCTCATTCCAAGCAGCCTCTGCTAATCATTGGCAAAGGTAGAATGCTTTGATGTAGCTTTGAACTGTACAAGTTCTGGACAAGAACAACGACCAAAGTGATTTCTTTTCCCCCTAAGTGTTAGCCATCTCCTTTTCACTCTCTATTAAAACAAACAAACAAACAAGAAAAAAACAAAAATGAAAAACACAAACTTCTTCGAAATTTGGTGTTAAAATCTGCTGGTTTTAGAATATTTTTATTCTGTTGTGTAGCTGTTGTCTTTTTCATCTAGTTTAAGAGAAAAGTCAATTGATAAAATACAAGTTTATGTAGAAAAAAATCGGATAACCATTGTCTTAAGCCTAGAGCCAATACCAAGGGATCACTTCCAAAATTCCAAACAAATTCTGTTAGAATACAGAAGTGGTATTCTCTGTCTGATGCTCTGGCATATATAGCAAGAATCAGAATAACCAAAGGTCATTTTTCCATTTTGACTTACTGAAAGTGCCAGCCTACCTGTATGCAGACATGAAGCAACAGAGCAGGTGTTGCTGTTATTGCTGTTTTACAGACTTTCCACTGTACTCTGCCAGTGTATTTCATTCCTGAAATAGACGTGTCCCTAAAGATAGAGGATAATTATTCTCTGTGCTGGTTCGCTTGTTTTGTCCCTCCTTGTGGAATGTTAGTGCAGTGGTGTTTCTGTTGAAGATACAGGTCTGCTAGGAACAGAATTGAAATAACCACCTTGTTTCACCCAGGCTGTTTTCCTACATTTAATCAGGGAGTGAAATGATTGAGATGAGATGGATCTTATAATTGATCAGGTAATAAAACAGTAGACAGAAGGTAGATCAGGAGAGGGATTTTTTTTTTCCCTCTCTGACTTGATACACATGAACAAAAGGGTATTCTTTGAAAGTGAAAGGTAGAAAACTCAAATACGCATAGATATATGTTTTGTTGACGTTAAGAATTGAGAATCCACTTAACAAATGTATCTGGACTTTCTGCTATATATTGTTGTTAGCAGAATTTTTGGAAGAAATACAGAAGTTTATTCTTCAGATTTTAAGACTCATGGACTTAAGTCATTGCACAAGGATCAGTGAGTTATTCTAGATTGCCTGGGCAACCTTAATTCAGCAGCCTTGTACTGAAGGTAACATCACAGTAAATGTATGCACAAACACATATCTTTACAAGGTCTTCTTTGAGCTTCTCTTTTTTCATTAAAGGCTTATAGTAGACCTGTTTGGGCAAATTGTTGTGGAGTATGTGATACAACGACATGCAGGGGGCAAGCAAAAAATGACATGACACAACACAAACGTCATCTCCTGTTGCTGCTGCAGAAGTCCCTGCCCCGTAATACTGAACTTCACCCACTCAAAATTGTCATTTTGGATAAACAGAATCTCCTATTTTTCTCTGCCCTGCTTTACAGAAATAACTAAATAGTTCAGCTGAAGTCTTTTAAAAAAAAAAAAAAGCTTTTGTCAAAAATATGGGAAATTTGAACCCAAATACCTGTAGTTTGGCATGTTATGTTTTGAGTTCTCCAGAATGAAAAATAAAAAGCAGCTTTCATAATGGGAAATAGTACTGTTTCTGCCACTAACGTAGTCAAGTTAATTGAAATTCAAGCGAATACAGTAGGTTTCTATAGTATTAAGCAGTCTCTTTCATTTCATTCAGGTGCTGCTTATTCTCGTGCTGAAAACAACATCAGAAATTTGGTGGACCTTTGCGGACTGCCTTTTTTGCCTACACCAATGGCAAAAGGAGTAGTTCCTGATAACCATCCAAATTGTGTAGCTGCAGCAAGATCAATGTAAATATAAAGCAAGGCTTCTAATCCTAACATCTGAGAAACAACTAGGAATTGTGGTGGTCTACAGATGCCAGGGAAGACAAAATGCATACAACAAAAATTTTTCAACCACATTTTGCACCTCGTTTTAGAGCACTGAAGATCTTACTTGGAAAGAGACAACAGAGTTGGGTGGATCACTTTTGACAATGCTTAGAATGGTGGCCAGGAAGATACTTTATCTGAGAGCTAATATTCTGTAACTATGAAACCTATGGCAAGTAGATGTATCAATGTTGTTAGTATGTATTTCATAACATAAAATGAAACTGGTAAACAGTTTATGTTAAATGTTTAACTTAGTGCACTAGACAAACTACTAGCTTTTTCTTTTAACACCATAAACAGAAGCTTAGGATGCACACATTGCAGTTTAAGTTTTGCTATCTGCTGTCTCTGCACGGTGTTTGCAATACACTGTCACTAAATTGCAGTTTATTTAAAAAGAAAAATAAGGTATTTTAAACTACACTGAAGGACTATGTTTAAAGTAACTTTATAAGAGCTCTTCTGGGCTTGGCAAAATTAATGTGAGTGAACTATAAGAACCCTACTAGGTATGAGTATGCAGAGAGTCAGCTTGCAGATGGAGCATTTATATACTTTGAGATTAAAATATTGTCCATTGTTGAGCATCTTAGCTTTATCACTGTTAAGCATGCTGTTAAGAAAAATGGAGAATAAAAGAATATACCAAATAATGTCTAGCCAGCTGAAAGGTAAATTATCAGGAGTCTAAACTGAGAGGTCCACAGCAATCTTCATTTTGGCACCCACTGTTGCCAGTATCACAGTAGTGAGTCTTATGCTTTAACCTCAGTGTCGTTATAGCATCTTGTTAGTCTCCTAGCGTAATGATTCCTTTCCCAAACACAGTGTATTAGGAAAATAGTAATTCATTTTCTTCTTGAGTTCCTAAACTCAAGAACGGCTTGATGATTGGCTATGTAAAAGGATACGTGGTTTTGGGGCTAAGCAAGCAGCTTAGAGAAAGGATTATATTCTGGGGTTTGCTGTGGTGGTTAGGGTTACTTCTAATTTTGAAAACACTACTAAATTTAATAATAATTCCTCTTTATCTGATTCTCTTATTTCCCTTTATTAGGGCATTACAGCATGCTGATGTAATCATCTTGCTTGGTGCGAGGTTGAATTGGATTTTGCATTTTGGTCTTCCACCAAGGTTTCAACAAGATGTAAAGATTATTCAGGTAAGCAGGAAAATGATAATCGCTTGAAGGAAATCCTCTGTGTTTTAGCATTGTCTAGAGCAATTACTGTAAATTTGTTTGGTAGTGTACTTCATGTGGCAAATACTGCCCTATGGACAGTGCAATACAGTGCATATAGTTATGGTAGTTATCCAGAAGTAGTTCTGATTTCTTTAATTATTTTTTTTACTTCCTTTTTTTTCTAAAAATGGTTACAGCTATCAAGGACTTGGTGCTGCTGTAATGAGCATACATAACTTCTATGTAGTTGACTAATACAGGATTAGACTCATGATACTTGTGTGATCTTTGGAGCAGTGGAATTTCCGTGACTGAAAGAAAATTGTCTTGAAATTGTGAAACCTTTCATACTGTTTGACTGCTCTCTCAGCTGGATTTTTTTTGAAATAGAGTTACTTTCAGATACAGAGTCACTCATTATAAGAGCTCAGTCACTCAGAAATCTTAATAAGAAAAGAGAAAGAAAGGCTATTTAACTAATTAATGTATTTGGCAATCTGCCAGCTCTTAGAAAGACAAGTCGTTAAATTGTTTATGTCTTTAAAATCTCTTCCCTTAGAGTCTGTGATCAAAGAGTAGTAGTTGATTCAGAGTGCTGACTGGCCTGCCTTCAATTAACTGGAACATAATCTCAGCTTCAAACTTTGTATTTTTTCCAGAGGAATAACATAAATTTTTAAGCTAGAATTCCTTTTGACTTATGAAATAATACATCTTTTGTGTTTTCTTTCTCTAAAGAAGGTAAAGAAAAATATTTTTTCATCTCACTTAAAGTAATTTTTTTCCACTGTCAGGGATTAGTATTAAAATACTGATTCAGTTCATAGCCTGTGTAACCCAGTCATAAGTTAGTATTCCATGTAACCTTAGAGGTCTTGTACATCACTGATAAAGAAAGTGGGGAAGCTTCTTCAGTGGTCGCAATTTACTTTTCGGTTTCTACATACTAGCCAAATTCTTGCTATCAAGTAGCATACACAAACTTTTCTCAGTAAGAAGATTACTGCTTTGTGTAGACTTTAAGGGTATACCTAAGCCTAGATTTTTAGTTCTCATATAATTATCACTAAAATCACCACCACCTTCTCCTTAGTGTTCTAATGAAGTTCGATACTGTCTGTAAGAGCTTGAAAGAAGCAAGCAGTCAATTTTAAGAATATATATGAACTTTTATTAAAATGGGTATGTACCATAGGATTTTACTTTGAATAAAGTATTTCCTAATGTTGTTTCAATGAAAGGCAGAGGAAGTTATCTGTACAGCCAAAACAAGTATGAAGACATTGTTAGACGATGTTCCTCATTTGAACTGAAAAAAATTTCTCTTTAATAATCCTTGAATTAATGTGGTCTTTCTTTTTGAAATATAGATTGATATTTGTGCAGAAGAGCTGGGGAATAATGTGAGGCCAGCTGCAATTTTATTAGGTGACATAAACACCGTGACTAAGCAGGTAACGTAATGTCAGGTATCCTCCTGTTTTGACCTTAATTTCCTCTGATTTATATAAAGTAAGTTACCCGTTAAAAAAAGAAAAAAGAAAAAAAAAACCTGGTCAAGGAAAACCATATTTTAGGCAACATACTCATGCTGTGCATCCAGTCTACTCCCAGATTAAATTTTAAAGGTTCTGATTAGTATTACTGTGATTGTGCTGAGATCTTTCTTGATAACGTTATTCTTGATAACGTGTTTGTGATGGTTTTTTTTTAAATATGTTTAAAGAAATCTCTGCAATATTTCAATGTTGTTCCAGCTCTTAGAAGAATTCAGTGAAAGACCATCGAAATATCCTTCTAATTCAGAGTGGTGGAAGAGGCTGAGAGAGAAAATAATGAACAATGAGGAAAGATCAAAGGTAGTGTTATATTAAAGAAAAGAGGAGGTTTCTCAGCTTAACAGATACCAATGCATAGTCAGTTTTATCACTGGTCTATAGCCAAGCTCCTCAATTACTTCGGACAGTCATGTCATCCAGACTTTAAAAATTTATACCATTCTGGTACAGGCTTACTCTTGTCAGGCTTATGAACTGCAAGTTAAGTCTTAATACTTAACTGTAAGTTAAGTGTTCTAGGTTTTGTATAAATTCAAACTGTGTGGAAGTCATTGAACTTTGGGATTGGGTTCTTAAAGCCAGTAGTAGAAGACCGCAGCCAGTACTGCTGTATTATGGGCAGTGACTTCTAAGCAATGGACAGGTACTCCAAGTACTTCCAATTACTCCAGGTGGAAGCTAGCTTATGTGAAGATGCGTTCTTAGTTTTCTTCTGTAATTGTACTGTTTAGCTGTTAGCAGTGCTGGTGGAAGTATAATCTATGTTAAAAGCAAGTAGCTATTAAGGCCAAAAGACCACGGATATTTGGCACGTGCCTAACTTTATGCAACTATATCCTGCAATTTCAGATGCATCTTTCCAAGATTGGGATCTAAAATAAATTAATTCTAGGAGATCGCTCTTTTGAACTACCTCCCAACACACAGATGACAGGTCACTTAGGGTTATCAATAGTCAAACCTATGGGCAAAAAAATTTCACGTGCCTCTCAGGTTAAACTGAGTTTTAATAGCTTCCTGTTAATGATAGGCCATCCACGGGTTGCTGAGCTGAGTGAGCCTCTGATAAATACACTGTGTCACCAGGGTAGATGCAGAAGGAGTGTCCTTGATGTAGTGCATGGAAGACCAAATACTTCAGCCTTACCTAGCAGGGTGCATTTTTATTTCCATTGTTACTATTTATATACTATAGTCTTAGTTCTGCACCGTATTGTAAATTCTATGCATAGGAGTTACTAATATTTCTTATTTTTAAGGGACTAGCATTACAGAAATCCCTGCCTATGAATTATTACACAGTCTTTCATCACATCAGAGAACTGATACCCAAGGACTGCATCTTAGTAAGTGAGGGAGCAAACACCATGGACATTGGACGAACTATGCTTCCAAATTACTATCCCCGTCAAAGGTTTGGTATTTCCTTTGTTGTGCTGACTCAGCAGGCTAGATCTATGTATAAATGTTTTCATTTAGCTGAGAAGTGTGATGGTCCAGAATTTTTGTAATCCTTTTTAAAGGTTCTAAATAAAAAAAAGTTTAGTATGTTGAGAGAGAGGGTAAGGGAAGTTTTCCACTCATACACTGATGACCTGTCATCGATTTTAACAATTCTCTGTGACTCGTCTGTGTGCTCCGCAACAGAATGGTGATAGTTTCTTACTCTTTTGTGGAAGGTGAGTGAGGAGCATCAGGTTGAATTCCCTGATCTAGATGTTTATTCCTGCGCTCAGAGTCTGTGGTAAATACTGATTTAAAATAAAAACAATCATTGGGATTCTCATGTTGAAAAGAATTCATACGAAGAGTTTTTCTTTGAAACACACTTAAAAACGGGGAAAACTTAAGAAGAATCAACTCATTTTGAAAATTGGATTATATATTGGGCACACTTTATGAAAACCTGCATGCCTAAAACGTAGGCACTCAAATTTGGAAGTGTTGGTATGTCACTTTAAATGTGTAGTCTAGTTTTAATGTAAGTGGGAATTAAGTGCTGTTTCTTGAATGGGGGTGGGGGGGTAGTTAATTCTCTCTGGTGAGGTGAAACTTCTTATCTGACTGTGAAGCTTGTGCTTTCATGTGAAAGTAGCACTAAAGTCCTAAATGAACCCAATTACTTCTTTGTAAACAAAAAACAACCAACCAAACAAAAAAAAACTACTTTTAGTAAAGATGGGGGAAGAGTTTGCATTTTTCCCCCTTATTTAAAATAAGGGCACAGTAATGTTAATGGTTGTCTTTTCAGATTGCATTGTACATATCTGAAAGCAAATTTGAAAAGTTAACCCTAGAATAATGCAGTTCTTTCTGTACTTTTGTATCCATTATGTGCTTCTGGCTGAAATGATCTAACTTAATTACAGCTTTCAATTTGATTTCAAAAGTTGAACAGAAGACTAAAATTTGAACAGCAGTATTTAACCGATGGCTTTCAGACCTCTAGTTATATTTTCAAGGAATTAAATATAGAAAGATTTCATGTAGTCTGCCTATCTCTACAGTAATTGAATGTTTTTGAAATATTGTTACTATGCAAGCTAAAAGCATACAAGAATAGTTCTACTGTATAAGAGTTCTTAATTTTAATTAGAGTTGCAGTATGTTTATACCACTTAAAACATTTGCAGTCTTATCAAATGTTTGACTGAATATAATAATCTATACATCTGGTATCTCTTTATACCAATTGTTTATGAAACAGTATTTGAATAGTGTATGGTAAATTATTAAAAGTAAAGATAAGTCACCATGGATTAACTTAAAAGTTTGCATGAAAATAAAGGGATAGTAATTCTGTATTCTCCCCTTTAGGCTTGATGCAGGTACTTTTGGAACGATGGGAGTCGGACTTGCTTTTGCTATAGCAGCTGCAATGGTAGCTAAAGACCAAACACCTGAAAAGCGAGTCATCTGCATAGAAGGAGATAGTGCTTTCGGTTTTTCTGGGATGGAGGTGGAGACTATTTGCAGGTAACTGGTTTTTGCTCAAGAAGACCCTCTTCATATATTGCCAGGATCAATTTAACTAGAAGGCCAAGGACGCTGCTGTTAGATGGGGTACTCTTAAAAGCCAAAAAATATACATGGTCGTTTTTATGCTGTTGTGACATAATGTGTTACCAGTGATGAGTAGATCATGTTTCAGATGGAAGTGATTTTTTTTTTTTAATTTATTTTCCTTTTACTTTTAAGGAAAAGTAATACTTTTAACACCTTACAGAAAGGTGCAAGTATTTCAGAATTCTTCCAAATGCATCTTTTTGTAGATACAACTTGCCAATCCTGATTATCATAGTAAACAACAATGGGATTTACACTGGTTTGGATGCAGATTCCTGGAAGGAGATGTTAACGTTTGGAGATCCTGCTACATGGTGAGCATCTTCAAAGTATGTCCTGTTAGTTAAGGAAAAAGTGACCAAAACGGTCATTCCCTTCGGTTTTAATGCTTTGTGATCCAGACTGAAATTTTTCATAAAGTGAACTTAGTCCTAGGCTAAGTTTATATAAGTAAGAACCAGTTACTGATAGCAAGCAACCAACCTAATTCCAGACTATTGTTTACACAACAGTGCAGCAGAGAGATGACTCTCTATTAGTTGTCTCAGGTTCCTGCAGCAGTTCAGGCCACGCAGTAGAGAGTTCATAGTGGGCTAACCTCCAAAATCATGATAATCTCCAAAATTACCTGAGACTTGTGTTCTGAGTTTACACTGGACTTCTGCTTCTGGAGCTGAGATCTCTGTACCAAAAGAACTAGGCTAAATATTTGCTCAGGAATGTCTCCAGAAGATGAAAATGAGTATGCTACCCTATAAATGTAGCTTAAGTGGGATAGGAAACATAGTTCTTCCAGCCCTGAAGAATTGATCAGGCCAGCACAATAATCATCTTACACTTTAAAATCAGTGCTAAAGTAGAATCATAGAATCATAGAACAGAATCA